CTTTACTCCCCCCAGCTTAAAGCTTCAATGGAACAAAACCCCACCCCCCGCATTCAAACCGTCCGCGTGATCGTTTCTATTTTCTCTTGCTCTTGCCTCCTCCACACCCAGACGAAAAGAAAATTACCGAAAAAATGCTAATTGGAATATCTCCACCCCAAAACTCGTGATGCACTAGTCCACACCTGGGAATCCGGCCTGGTCACCTGGCCACGACAGTGCCTCGTCCGCTCGCTTCCGGATACCCAGCAACATACAAGCCTCTCGGGGATAGACCGAAGTCTCAGTTTCTTTTCTGTTCTCCTGCTTCTCCAGTCCACTTGCATCGTGAGATCCCCCTCTGGCATATGAATGCATGTATATATAAAGTCCGGCCTCTTACACACTTACACCTGCTTCTCCTCCATCCATCTCATCATCCATCTCACCATCATTCACACTGTCAATTGCACAGCATCCCACCGATATAATATATAATATTATCTGAACAACTTCGCCTCTCCCTCATACAACTCCTCCCTCCCTGCACGCACACGCGCACACACATCTACACACACACATCTACACAATGGTCCCTACTATGAAAGCCGTCCGCTACCACGGACAGGAAGACGTCCGCGTCGAGGACGTTCCTGTGCCCACCATCAAGCCGGGCCACGTCCGCATCGCCCCCAAGTTCTGTGGCATCTGCGGTACCGATGTGCACGAGTACACGGGCGGTAACAACCTGATCCCCAAGCCGGGGGCTCCTCACCCCATCACCGGCGAGACGCACCCGCTCACCCTCGGCCACGAATTCGCCGGCATCGTCGAGGAAGTCGGCTCGGGTGTCAGCCACATCAAGGCCGGCGACCGCGTGTGTGTGCAGCCCATCATCTACGACGGCGACTGCCGGTCCTGCAAGCGCGGCCTGGTCAACTGCTGCGACCGCAACGGCTTCATCGGCCTGAGCGGCTGGGGCGGAGGCCTGTGCCAGTCGACCGTCGTGCCCGAGTCCTGCGTCAAGATCCTGCCGGATAACGTGCCCCTCGAGGTCGGTGCCCTGGTCGAGCCCCTGGCCGTCGGCTGGCACGCCATCAAGATCTCCCCCTTCCAGGAGGGCGATTCGGCCTTTGTCATCGGTGGTGGGCCCATCGGCCTCGCCGTCATCCAGGCCCTCGTCGGCCGTGGATGTTCCAACATCATCGTCAGCGAGATGAGCCCGAAACGCCGCCAGTTTGCCAGCCAGTTCGGCGCCCACCACGTCCTCGATCCCAGCCGCCAGGACGTCGTCGAGGAGGTCAGGAGGCTCACCGGCGGCCTCGGTGCGGACGTCGGCTTCGACGCCGCCGGCTCCCAGTACGCTATCGACACCGCCTTCGAAGCCCTCAAGGCTAGGGGAACCCTCGTCAACATTGCCGTCTGGGGGAAGCGCGCCGGCATCAACATGAATGAGATTGTCTTCCGCGAGAAGGCCTACCTTGGCGTGTAAGTACACCGACACACACACACACACACAGAGAGAGAGAGAGAGAGAGGGAGAGAGAGAGAGAGAGAGAGAGAGAGAGAGAGAGAGAGAGAGAGAATACGTGACTGACTATTTGAAACAGTGCCACTTACAGCCTCGGCGACTTCGAGGAGGTCCTTGAAGTCATCTCCCAGGGACGCATGGACCCCTCTGGAATGATCACCAAGAGCATTACCATGAACGACGTCGTCAACGAGGGCTTCAAGACACTCATCGAGGACAAGGACTCGCATGTCAAGATCCTCGTCGACATTGATGCCAGTGTATAAGCTGCCATTTTCTCTACCTCTTTCTTCTCTCCTTGCTTTCTATCCCCAGGTGTTTTTTTCGGTCCATGTTCTTTTCTTTCTTCCCTTCTTTGTCTCTGTTTCTAGTATAAGCAAAAGCGAGCGCTCTGTGGGTTCTGTCAGGCATATTGACACTAATAGTTGCATCTTGATGAATAATCCTTGAAATTCAAATTTCTTCTATCATACGATATTTGACCCTTTCCCTCGCTCCGTTATTTTTGACTCTTGGACTAATACTGAACGTGATTGCCTACATGCAAAAAAAAAAAAAAGGAGGGTGTGATGGAACACACCACCCTCACACATATTCACACCACCCTCACGCACATGCACACTACCCTCACGTTGTTATCGACTGGGTCGAATTCTGAATTGACAAGATTTACCCCCCCCCCCCCCCCCCCCCCCCTTCCAAACCCCAACCCCGCAACTGGAACCTTGTCGCGTGGCATGTGGGGAAATGGTACATGACCTTAGCTACAGATATGGATATGGATATAGACCCTTCCTCCGGAGTCCGGACATTGTCACGAAAGCCAATCCGAGAATAGATTAATCACACGACCGCGACCCACTGAGCCAATAAAGGGAAGCGGCGGGGAGGGGAAGTGACGTGGAAGCTGTCAGCGCAATCCTCATTGCTGTCGTCTCAACCCATAACTCGCTCCGGTTGACTTCGTAATATTGAGACCAACAAACTAGTGCACATAGTTAAACTCGACCCATCCAATTATTGATCGAGAACACCATGGGCCTCATCCGACTCGCCACAGCCTCCCCGGGCACCCAGCCCACCACGGCGTCGACGCTGGAGCTTCTCCGCACCGTGGCCCAGCAGGCCGCTTCCCAGGGCGCAGACCTCCTCCTCCTCCCCGAGGCCTTCCTGGGTGGGTACCCGCGCGGCAGCGGCTTCGGCAGCGTCGTGGGCAGCAGGTCTGCCGAGGGTCGCGACGAGTTCGCCCGCTACTTCGAGGCCGCCGTCGACCTGGGCGACACGGCTGGGCCGGGGGGGGCCGGCGCGGGCGACGAATGGATCAGGAGGGAGCTCCCGTCTCAAAACGTCAGCGGTAACAGCGATGTCCCGCGCGGCGACGGCACGAGGGAGTATCTTGAGTCTGTGGCTAGGGATACCGGCGTCTTCATCGTGACCGGGTGCGTCGAGAAGGCGGGTGGCAGTCTCTACTGCGCTGCCGTGTATGTCTGTCCTACAAAGGGTATCATTGGGAAGCGTCGCAAGGTGATGCCTGTGAGTGTTTTTTTTTTTTTTTTGACTTCTTTTTTTTCTTCTCGTCTCTTATCTCTCTATGCTTCCCATGTTAGATCCACCTTCAAAATGGGTTGTGCGTCTATACGTTGAGAAAAAAAATAGAAATCATTTCTGAACTTGATAAACTGACTCCCCAAGACCGGAACTGAACGCCTCATCTGGGCCCAGGCCAGCCCCGCCACCCTCCGCGCCGTGAGCACCACAATCAAGGGCGTCCGCGTTAACATGGCCGCCGCTATCTGCTGGGAGTCGTACATGCCTCTGCTCCGCCAGGCACTGTACGCCCAAAACATCAACCTGTACCTCGCCCCCACCGCCGACGCCCGCGACGCCTGGCTGGGTCTCATGCGCACCGTTGCCATCGAGGGTCGGTGCTTCGTCGTGAGCAGTAACATGGCTGTTAGGGATACTACTTCTGCTTCTATTATCGCTGCTGCTGCTGAGCAGCAGGAGGAGGGCCATCAGGTCAATGGTACCGCTGCGCCCAAGGTGCCGGCGTCATCGTCGTCGTCGTGGATCTGCCGTGGTGGCTCTAGCATCGTGGATCCCATGGGTGAGGTCCTGGCTGGCCCGCAGTGGGAGGATGAGCACTCCCTCATCTACGCTGACGTTGACTTGCGTGACTGCATCAAGGGTCGCCTCGACTTCGATGTCGCGGGTAGCTACTCGCGCAGCGATTCGTTCAAGTTTTCCGTCGAGGGCCTGAACTTGGACCCCCTGCCTTATTAGGACCACTTTGACCCTGTTCGAAAGGGTGGTTTTACAGTTCTTGTTCTCGCTGACACACAAGGTCCCGTTAGTCGATGTAAATGCTGCATTGATGCTACCAATAGTCGCTATTCCGAGACAAAACAAAAAATATACACATTGTCCAATGTACATGATGCAAAGAGTAAATACCATCGCAATGCTACCGCTTGTTCTCGTCTTCCCTGGAGGCTAAAGACGAAGAAACGAAAACAGATCTCCTAAACGCTACCGTGCCCAGGAAAAAAACAAGAACAAGCCAAGAAACATGAAAAAGTACTACTGAGCTCCGTCATTCTTGGGCGGCCTCTGACATGGCCGCCAGCCCTCATCGGCCTTACGCTCCGACTCGATATCCCTTCGCTGCCTCTCCGTGGCAGCCCTGGCGAGGATGTCCCTCCTGCTCATGGCGTCTGTACCGGCCGAAGCACCTGCGACGCCACCCAGGACGAATTCGCCGCCGGTCCAACCACCCTCATCATAATGGGCATCCTCGTCGTCATCCTCGTCGGCCTGCCCGGTGATGTGATAGCGTGACGTCTCACCAATGGTGCGGCCGCCCGTCTTCCAGTCGGCAGCGTCGACCTCGCGCTCTATCTGATGGCACAGGTCCCAGAAGTGGCGGTCGTGATCGCTGTGGACGTTGTGGGCGAGTTCGTGGCACAGCGTCTTGCGGATGGTCTTGTAGTCACGGTAGCCGTCGTAGGCATCGGTGCGCAGACGCAGCTCAATCACCTCGCCGCGGTTGCGGTTGAGACCCAAGATGCGCGACGTGCCCTCGTGATTCGATTGCGTATGCGACAGGGGTTCCATCTCGGTCAGAAGCCCCACCGAGAACTTGTGCTTGCGCATGGCCGAGACGATGCCCGGGTCCGACTTGAGACGCATCAGGAGCGCCATGCTGCGCTCCGGCCGCGGTAGCATCGGGAGCGGCCGCACCTCCTGGAATGTGTACTGCGTCTCCGTTGTCGTGGGCGTCGTCTTGCGCGCTGCAGGGGCTGCTGCCGCTGCAGCCCGTCGCTGCTGCCGACGCCTCATCGACTCCACGCGTCGCTCCTCCATCTTCTTTCCCATAACCCGCACTTCGTCTGCCGTCGACGCAGCCGAACCCATCAGCATCAGCTTCTTGCCTTCTAGGTCACGCAGCGACTGATCTGGGTTCTTGGGCGGGAACTGCAGCATCGGCGCCTTTGGTACCAGGATCTTCTGGTTGCCGACCGGGATCTGCAGTTTCTCCTCAATCATCTCGAATAGGTCCGTCACCGTTGCCGTCTCAGGGAACTCATAGCTGTGGTTGTTGCTGCGGTGCTTGATGTCAATCTTGACCACGCTGTGGGGTGACGTTGCCCCATCGAGGGATTCGAGGTCTGACATGGCGTAATTTGTTCTCGTTGAGACTGGGAAAAGTTTGATTCTGTCTTTTTGTCTTCTTTTTTTCTTCTCGTTTTTTTTTTTAAAGGGCTATGAAAAGCGTATTGATCGCAAAAGGCTTGGTATATGTATAGTACGAGATTGGTGAAAGTATGATTCTGGTTAAAGAAAGGCGGGCGGAGATTGGGTTGTTGCTAGTTCGAAGCGGACTTATATACCGTAAGCAGATTGGGGGCGAAGCACCGGGTTGTAATGCCGGACTGCTGGGATTCTACGGACTTCTGTTTGCAATTGTAATTCACCATGGCTGGTGCGCTTCAAGGTGGCGCCACAAGGGATGGCCGAAAATTTGCTCTACGTAATAATTCCTACCCGGCTGACTCAACATTTCGAACGCCTTCCTACTGCTCGTAATTTTCCTTATACAAAATAAAAACAATAAGTCAGCAAAAACAGCGCAATAAGTCACCAAAATGACGCGGGTTTCGCTATTTCTATTGCCTTTGACGATTGAATTATTACCCGGTATAATTCCGGCTCGACTAATCTGTAATCAATTCAGACGCATCTTTCCCGACGTTATTCCGACGGTGCCGTCTGACAGGACGTCATATCACGTGGTATGTTCCTCTCTGATAGCTCGTTTCAGTGCCTTCCCTCTCGCTCTGTGGGGAGCTCCGCCAATGGCCTTGTCGTCGCGCGCGTCGTGTCCTTTTTTCCCTTAGGTCGCTAAGCTCCTGACGATCATTTAGTCGCAGCTTCGCCCTCTATAACCTCCCAAAACGCCTGTCCGGCAATAAAAAAACCCCAACGACCTGCACGATCAACTTACCCCCCCCCCCCCCCCCCCCCCCCCCCCCCCCCCCCCCCCCCAGCGCGCCCTGTCCCCATTATCATCGCATCCTCCCGCCTGTACGTCGCGCTGGCCGTCGCCTATCCAACCCATTGTCGCCGTTTTGATATCATCGCAGCCCGCTAGAGACCAGCTTCTGAGACGCCGTCACCATGCCCAACGTCTTTCGAGTTGCAGGTAAGCGCCACGACGACCGCCCGTGACCTCTACTCGGCGATCTTGCTGTTTACTAAGAATTCGCATTGCAGCGGATTTCTCCCACTTGGGGAGTATCCTCATCCTACTGCACAAAATGGTGCAGATGAATGTAAGTCTACAACCCAGAACACCCGGATTTCCTAGCGCAGTACTGATTATCAGAGTAGAGCTGCTCCGGCATTTCGTTCAAGTCACAAGCGCTATATCTCTTCGTGTACATCACGCGCTATCTTGGTACGGTCCTTCACATCGTATTCCCGTCCGATTTGAGGGCGGGGCAAGATCTCTGAAATCCACCCTTCTGACTGGTCTGTTAACATGTCAACTTGCGCAGACCTCTTCTCGACAAATAGCGTCTACAATTTCGTCTTCAAGGTCCTCTTCATCGGCTCCCAGGGCTACATCATCTACCTCATGACCAACGCCTACAAGCCGACAAACGACCCCAACGTCGACACCTTCCGCGTCCAGTACCTGCTGGGAGGCGCCGCCGTCCTCGCCATCCTGCTCCCCTACAAGTACACCTTCTCCGAGATCCTCTGGGCCTTCTCCATCTGGCTCGAGTCGGTCGCCATCCTGCCCCAGCTCTTCATGCTCCAGCGCACCGGCGAGGCCGAGACCATCACCACCCACTACCTCTTCGCTCTCGGCACCTACCGCGCCCTGTACATCCCCAACTGGATCTACCGCTACTTCACCGAGGTCAACCACAAGACCGACTGGATTGCCATCATCGCCGGTCTCATCCAAACCGTCCTCTACAGCGACTTCTTCTACGTCTACTACACTCGCGTCCTCAAGGGCAAGAAGTTCAAGCTCCCCGTATGAACGGGAACAGCTGTCCGCGACAATCTGCGACAGAAGCAGCAACGATAGGCTGCACAACTCCCTCTTTTCGCCAGCTCCAGCATATCAAATGACGCATGATATCTGGGTGGCACGGTAGGAGATTTTCCCTTCAACTCAAAATAGAGCTCCGGGGGCGGTTTCTCACCCTCGCGGCTCTGTCATGTGATGGCGTTCGAGGGGCAGGCTCTACAATCCAACGATGAGATATACATCCATACTACGGACACGGAAAAAAAATTATTGTGGACCGCAGTGTAGAGATAGACGGGTATTTGTCATGTTTGTGCTTTTCTTTTTCCTCTTCTTTTCATTCTTTTCATGTGCCTGCAAATGAATAAGTGGCTAGGCTCAAGGGCGAGGGACACACATGACGTAGGAGGAACAATGACTGGGGGATCCTGTAATATAACACTGTGACTTTACGTACCAAAGAAATTAATAGGACAACGAGAAATCAACTAGTGAGTAATATGGCGAGACATATTTCACAGACTAAGATAAACACGCCTGCCATTTTGTTTCTTTCTTTGACTTGTTAACACTGCAAATAGAACGTCCCTGTGAAAATCACGTGACCTGTACGACGTGCACTGTGGAGGAGGGTCAACCCGTCGAAACCCGCTCTCCATCAATCCATCTCAGCGTCATATATATCCAACCACAGTCATGGCCAGCGAAGTGCCAGAAAAGTCTGATCAGGTACCCGCGGTGGACTCCGTGGCAGAGACGACGACGGCCAACGATGGCGGAGACATCAACATGGAAGGGACCGCCGCGCCTGGAGCCGCGACCGATGCACCCGGCGGTGGTGGCGGCGAAGACGAAGAGCGGAACCCCGTTGCTCCAGGGCCCGAGCTGAAGCTCCCCACGCACAAGGACGTGTCCCTCCGCGAGCTACTTCATAAGATGGATGACTCTGCACCCATTGTACGTTTTTATCTTTCAGCCCCCCCTCCCGCTGGAGAAAGGCCATCTTCCTCGTTCTGACATGTAGACTGTGTTTGATTCCAGATCCCAGACGCAGTGACACACTACTACATGACCAAGGCTGGCTTGCCACCTCCTCCGCAGACGGATCCTCGACTGGCACGCCTGCTGGCCCTGGCGACGCAGAAGTTCATCGCAGATGTCGCCGCCGACGCGTACCAGTACAGCCGCATTCGCGCGTCCAACACGAACACCAACAACCCCATGGGTAACCTCGGCGCTGCCGCCGGCTTCCCCGTCCCCGGACAGCATCAGGGTGGCGCGGGCCAGGCTGGCGGCGCCGGAGGTGCCGGCGCGGTAGTGAGCAAGGATCAGGCTAAGGGGGGTGCTGCTGGCGCCAATGCGGCCCTGGGTATCCAAAGGCCCGGATACGGCGGTGGCGGCCAGGGTGGGAGCCAGAATAGGACGGTTCTCACCATGGAAGATCTCGGTATGGCGGTGGGAGAGTACGGGGTCAATGTCAAGCGCAGCGAGTTTTACCGGTGAGAAAGACGGTACTCTCCTGCTCTCTTCTTTGTCTGCGGGGTTTCTATTTCTTTTTTTTCCCCTCGAAGGTCTTTCTATTACCGGGCGTTTTTTTTTCCCCCATCGGGACTCTATTGGCGAGTGGCGTTGGGCGAAGAAGATACATGATTCAATGTGTATATTGCATTCTAAAACACCAGGAATATGCTTTGCGTATTGATAAATACAATCGATGATGATACAGGTAATTTTTTTCTACTTATGATACAGCTCGATCTCTCATTTTGGAATAGGTGCCTCCTCATCATTTGTTCTTCCACTTATCCTTCTGGACACCCTTTCTTGTCCTGTAGTTGGCAGTTAGTATAGTGACGAGGTTCGAGGGAGTGCGGGAGTAACCAGCGATCATAACGTACGGGGAGAACTCGCCCAGCTTGTGCCCAACCATGTCTTCGGTAATGTTGATGCGGTTGTATATCTTGCCGTTGTGCACCTCGAATCGGAGGCCGACAAAGCTGGGGAGGATGGTCGCGGAGCGCGCGTTGGTCCGCACCGGTGGCGGCTTATCACCCTGCTTCTTGGGCCACTGGATTGGAAGGCTGTCGGAAGGAAGAAGAGGGAAATGTCAGTACTGGCTCTCGCTTCGCATTGCCATCGAATTGTCTACCCCCTTGGTGGGAAAGGCAGGGAAAATCAGGACGAAGGTTGGATCGTAAAGGAGAGGAGTCGCTTACGGCACGAGGTTCGGCCCTGTTGAGAACAGTTAGCTTTGTGAATCAAATGGATTCAGATGGATGCAATGACGACGACTTACCCTTCCATGTTGAACGCTTTAGCAGAACTCGGCTCGGCTTCATTGTTGCTGGCGCATAACTTGGAGGTCGGCTGTGAGTTGATCTCGTCCAATCCTTTGTCGCGTGGTAATATGAAGTTGGTTTGACCTTTGCACAACTTGTCGAGGTGCGGATCATAGATTTTCCGCCCGCCTATCCACACCTCCCGTACACGACTTACATTGTGCGTGAACCGTGTGCATTGTCGTCGTTGCAAGACTCTCCTTCTTTTCATTCATCATTTTCCTCTGCTTAGTCTTATTCTTCAATAATAATAAAAATGGAAAGAAGGAGTTATGACGCTTCTCATGTTGGCGAAACTTGAGTTGACAATTTTGTTTGCTTTTAATCTCACAGCTCAAGACTAGTACTGACAGGTAGATGGATCCATTCATTTAGTAATGGAGCAAGCATGCATTACAACCGCCATTGGACAGCATGGCCGTGTCACCAGAGCATATACCTCTACGTTTACATCTTTGCTTATGCACTCGCCCTCTCTCGATCTCACGACGAACATTACGAGCGGTTGTTGTAGGGATAACAGTACCACACGCATTCCGGTCTCACCCTGTTCCAAGACCAAGACTGCCTTTCTCCCGTCACCCTGCCTCGAGTCCTTAATCGGGGACGTCGTGACGAACATCTATATAACACCCATTTAAGGCCTGTATGGGACCAGCTTGATGGACGCATATCGTAGAAGGTCAGTATTACTTTAGATTTTCAACGGTATAGTGGGCGTGAGTGCTGAGGCCAACGGAACAGCGGTCACCCCCCCTAAAGGTGATTGATTGTACGACGTTCATGTAAATCTCAATTCTTCTTCAGCTCCCAGGCTCACCTTTGACTCCTCTTGTCTTCTTTCTGCCACCGTCAATTCATCGTCCAACATTATCGTCTTTCTTCCACGATTCTTCCATTTGTCACCGCTGCCCTCGAATCAGGGAGCCTGGATGGTCACCTCGGCCAGCACTGATCGGCATCATGCCCCGATCAAGAAGACGAAGCCGTGGCGTGAATGACGTAAAGGAACTCCTCGAGCAGGTATTCCCATCCAGAATCCCCCACATCTATACAGGATGTATCTAACGATGAGAACATAGCACACCGAGCAGGTTGCGTCCCACGTGCGCGTCTCAGCTCCTTGCGAGGGGTGTATCATCTCTGCTTGCTCTCGAGCAAGGTGACGGCGTGTGCTTTCCAAGCCCTGAGGGCAGTAGATACACGGCTCGCACAAGGAATGGTCAGCCATGTAAGCCTGTCGAAGATTTCCTGGCTCGCATTGTCATTCGCCAGCTCAAGGCCCTTGTCGAAGGAGACTCGGAGGTGGGCTTCTATTTCTTTCTTTCTTCTTTCTTTCTTCCTCTCTTCCCCTCTTTCTCCTTCTCCTTTCCATAAGTACAAACCAATCAGTCTTGATTTCTCACATTGACCCCCAGAGTTTCAGCAGATGCACTGCTCGCCTGCGCCAAGAATACCAAAACCGTGAGGGGGGGGGGGGGGGGGGGGGGGGGTGATGGCTCGAACACGAGCACGGCCACAAAGAGAGAGAAGGAACACCACGACGAACTTGTAGATAGGATTACCACGACAAAAGCTCTCGAAGACGACGGTTGAATGGCCACGCATCCGGGCAGATTCCACCCAAGCCGATCTGGGAAGACGGCTATGCCATGAACAGATTCTGAACGATGATGTCAAGGAACAGCTGCAGATGGTGCAAGCTCTGGGAGATGATCGGGTGAACCGCGTCTCCCGGACCAGAGCTCTGGAATGCGAGCTCGGGCAAAGCACCTCTTGGGTAAAGGCCCCGGAAGAGGGACTGTCTCCTGGAAAGGGCTGCAACTCCCCGGACGGAGCAGTCTTCTACAAAGCCTGTGGAGTCCCCCCAGGCCAAACGCTCTCCCCAAAGGCCGCGGCGTCATCCCCCATCCAACGTAATTCGTTTTGGGGGAGATATTGCATGGAGGGCTCAGATCTCTGAAGAGGAAAATCAGATATAGAGGAGCCAATTGAGGCATGGTTGGATCCAGGGATTGTTGGATGGAAGAGAAATGAATATTATAAGCAAATGATTGTACATAGCGTGATAACTTAAAATATCGTAGACGCGGTTAGCCGAGCCATATTGTTTGTACTCAAGGGACATCACTATTATCACGTGGGGCCCAAGGGCCATTGTTATAGCACATGTCACCACTAAAAGTACCTCGAACAGCGTCTTGGTCAGCGAACGGGTCGCCGAAAATGTCCGGGCACTAGCAATATTGGGCTCGCCTCATGGGCCATAGCGCTGTCGGGGTCCGCCTTTGGGGTGGCCTAGGCAACTTGTCCCACTGGTTGGTCGAAGTAGGTATCGAAACCTGTCCATAGGCCGGCCTCTTTGGAAATATCAATCTCATCCATCATCCCACCTCTCCCCCCCCCCCCAAATCTCGACGACTCCATCACGAGCTGGACGACTACGTGACTTTGGGCATTCGTACTATACCACAAGTCAACGGCACAGTCTATTCATGCCCCTTTTCTAAACGACGCTTTACGAACCACCCAACAACGCGCGCCACGTCGTCCTGGCCTTCATATCTACCACGATTGTCACGCATCGTTTCGTTCCCTGGGGATACACCCTGTAACCGGCGTACACGACACGACTCCGTTTCTCAGAAAGCCACGGACACCTGTTCGGAAGTCTCCCCCTTCACGTACCGATACCAAAACACACTACCCCACCGATGCCGGGCGCCACAGCCTCGGGGGCCGACGCCGGCGGAAGCTCCGCACGGAATAGGGATCACAAGCAGGGCAACCAGGGCCGTAGCTTCACACCCGAACAGGAGGCAGCAGTGATACGGATCCGCAAATGCGGCGCAACAGAATTCTACGACATCCTAGCCCTCGAGGCCGTCCGCAAGACGTGCACCGACTCGGATATCAAGAAGGCGTACCGCAAACAGTCGCTACTGACGCATCCGGATAAGAATGGCCATCCGCATGCTGACGAGGCCTTCAAGATGGTCAGCAGAGCTTTTGGCATACTGGGAGACAAGGAGAAGCGCGAGAAGTATGACCGCTTCGGCGGCGACCCAGACAGCCGCTTTGGCGGTGCACCGCCGCCCAACCCCTTCTCGGGTTTCGCATCGCGAGGCCCGCCTGGCGCGGCAGGGTCGGCAGGAGGCGGATTCCCCGGCCGCGCGGGAGGCATGTGGGAGGAGGAGCTGAGTCCAGAGGAGATGTTTGCCCGATTTTTTGGTGGCGGCGGCGGTGGCTTCGGAGGAGGCGGCTTTGGAGGTGAGCCTGCTTTTCTTCTCCATCTTTGCCTTGACACCCTCGATCCCCGTCTTGGCTCTCACATGAGCAAGCGAGAGAGAGAGAAGATGACTGACACCGTAAGGCTTTGACACAGGACCTGAATTCGTCTTTAACTTTGGCGGCGGCCCGGGCATCCGCGTCCACCAGTTCGGCGGGGCACGACCCAGGAGACGGCCGCAGCAAGCGCAGCAAGGCCAGCAGCAGGAGACTAGCCCTCTGCAGAACCTCATCGGCCTCCTTCCCATCATCATCTTCTTCGTCCTCCCCATGATCACGTCCCTCTTCTCGTTTGGTGACTCGACGCCGGCCACCCCCCAGATGGTCTTTGACAACCCGCTCCCCCCGTACACGCACGTCCGCGAGACGCCCAACCACAACATCCGTTACTTCGTCAACCCCGTCGACATCGCCAAGTTCAGCGACTCTCGTCTCACCGCGCTCGACCACACGGCCGAGGTTAAGCTCGTCCGCCACCTGCGGTCCGAGTGCGACAACGAAATCATGCACAAGAGACGTCTGCGTGATAACGCGCAAGGCTGGTTCTACCAGGATGTCAGTAAGATGGCCGCGGCCGATGCCTACAGGATGCCGTCGTGTGAGAGGCTGGGCAGCATGGGTCTCGGTCGTTGACATTGATATCCGCCGCCCTCTGATTTCTTTTTGTTTCCCTTTCTTTCTTTTTAATAGCATAATCTGGAGAAGAAGTTGGAAGGAGACATACAAAAATAAATGGTAAAAAATTCAAGCACAGAGAAGAACAGACAGAAGTCATGTTAGAATCATGTGTGTGGGTGCATGTCCCTTTACTCTATAGCATACAAAGACGTGGTCGAGGGCTATCTGGATTTGACAACGTCCGACATTAACTAGAGCGCATTGTTAGGGCACAGTCAGCTGAGCATATATTTTCTCTTCCTGCAATTGATAACATATTTCAGGTACAGAAGGCAGCGGAGAAGGGCGCTGCAGATTCTACCTCGCATCTGTCTCGCATGATATGCTCAACATCGCCCCGTCTATTGACTATAGAAGACGTCCCGTCATTCGCCCGGTCTATACATGGCAGCATACAGGGCCTCGCAGAAGAGCGTTATCGCCCTCGACCCAGCCTCGAGGACGGCATCCATGGCGATGAAAGGGTGCGGCTGGCCCTTCATGACGTGGACCACGGCAGAGACGCCGCTGTCGCGCAGCTTCTGGGAGAACTGCTCACCCTCTCCGCGCAGGACGTCGAGCTCTCCCACCACCGTACAGGCCGGAGGCAAGGCAGACCAGTCGCCCTGCCAGAAGAGCGGGCTGGCCTCAGGGTGAGCCCAGTCGGCCTCGTTGGGGAGGTAGTGCTTCCTGTACCAGAGCATCTTGGGGGCGGGGAGAGCAGGGGTGTGCTGGTACTCACGCCAGGTGTCGCTCGTGGTGACGTCGGCCGTGTTGTCCGTCACGGGGACGGAGAGCAACTGTAGAGAGAATCTAGGGGTTCCACGGTCCACTGTGCGCTGACACATGACGGCGGCGAGGTTGCCTCCAGCAGATGAGCCGCCTTTTTTTTTTTTTTTTTTTTTTGGTTTGTGTCCGGGTCAGAAGATATTCGGAGATGGAGTGCGAGAGAGGAGGGGGAACGCGAAAGCTCACCAGTGGCCATCTTGGTGGTGTCGATGTTGAGAAGGTCCTTGCCCTCGCCTACGGTCCAGAGAACAGCCTCCCAGGAATCGTGGACGGCAGCAGGGAACGGGTCCTCGGGAGCTAGTCTGCATGTTTTTCCAGGCAGTCAGACAGGGGGCGGAGATGATGAGCGACGGAGAATACAAGATGTGTGGCGAAACAAGACAAGCGAACCTGTAATCGACAGCCACAACGACACATTTCCCTCTCGCGCACAGATGCGAAGCGATGACGTTCTCCGTGTCAATGTTGCCCAGGACCCAGCCGCCGCCGTGGTAGTAGATGCACACGGGCCATCCTGGCTCGGGCCTGTCACCCTCGGGTGTGAAGCAGCGCACCTTGACCGCAGGTCCCTCGCTCTCCTTGCGGGCGACGGAGTAGTCCCTCACGCTGGCGACCTTCTGCTGGGGACCGCTGCCGGGGATCAGGACGCCGCTGGAGCGAGAGGCGGATATGGGCTGCAGATGGACCTGCTGCTTGTCGATGATGTGCTCGTTATAGAAGGCGGCATATTCGGGGTCTAGGCGGTCGATTATGGACTCATGGACGGGGTAGGGTGGCTGTGGGTTGGTGCTGGCCATGATGGGCGGTCATCAAGTTCCTTGATGTCTAGGTATGTCTGTACTAGTAATGCTACGTGTATTAAATACCACATGGGCAAGCCAACACCCTGTTTGTGCGATCGCCTTGAGCTTCATGTTGTTGTGAACGAGGAGTGAACCCTGACAGTACGAGTACACGGCGACCCCGAGATCGGCCCTCTTTTGATGACCATTCAAGGGACGCATCGGTATGTTTTCTGCTTTCCCCTCTCTGTCCCCCGTCGGATGATACAAAGGTGTGAGCGAAGTGAAGCGCGTGCTAATGTTGTAAGTTGCATTTCCTTGGAGATCCCACCAAGGCCCCGCTTCGATGTAACCCAACGCACCGTGGGCGTCGTATCACCACGGCACGGTGCCATATGTACTCTTATCACTATCAGCATGTATCGGCATGTATCACTTGCTATCTGCCTAGACACAGATACGCAGATACGATGAATCTAGTAGTGACAGTGCACAGGTATTAATACCGTCTGGGATCGAATCTCTCTGATAAGCCGAACAGTGAGAATGGTAGGTCATCCCAGTCTTGGCCTCGTCACTTTAAACAGATCAGTGGGAAGACTCAGAGAAGATCGGTGGGAAAAGAGAAGAAAAAGAAGAAAAAGAAGGAAAGGAAAGGAAGAGAGGGAAGCAATCCGACATGGACCTTGAAAAGAAAGCCGGCGTGGACCCGGAAAAGGATGAGAGCGGCAGTGCCATCGTCAACGATGCCGATGCTGGCAGCATCGGCGAGACGGCGCATGTCATTGACCATGTCGCCGAGCGAAAGCTGTGCTTCAAGTTCGACATTCGGCTCATGCCCGTGTTAGCCGTCATGTGTAAGTCTCGATACTCAACCTGGTCTCTCATCCAAGTCTCACGAGTACTGATAATTTCCTCTAGACCTCTTCAACGCGCTCGACAAGGGTAACCTTGGAAATGCCGAGACGGCAGGACTCAGCGATGGTGCGTCTTGTTGCTTTCCCTTTCTTCCCCTGCAGGTATCCCCTCACAATACAATCGAACTGGCCACTGACCGGCGACCTATGGGATGATAGACCTCAACTTCAAGTCGGGTCAGTACAACCTGATTGTCAGCATCTTCTTCGTCCCATACGTCCTCTTTGCCATGCCCGTCGCCGTCCTGGGGAAGCGGTTCGGCCCGGCGCGAGTGCTGCCTATCCTCATGTTCACCTTCGGATCAATGACGCTTCTGTCGGCCGCGGTGCACAACTTTGGCGGACTCTTCGCCCTCCGCTGGATCCTGGGAATGGCCGAGTCGGGTTTCTTCCCGCTCGTCATCTACTACCTGACCACTTTCTACCGCCGTGGCGAGCTGGCTCGTAGGCTGGCCATCTTCTACGCCGCCTCCAACATTGCCAATGCCTTTGTATGTTCCTGACCCCGCCCCTCCCTTCCCATTCCGGCCTTGGGATGCCCCTCCTGACGCGAGAATCAAATGGCTACGCAATCAGAGCGGTCTGTTGGCGTTTGGCGTCTTCCGGATCAAGTCCGACCTCCTCCCGTGGCGTTACCTCTTCATCATCGAGGGTTCCGCCTCGGTCCTCTTCTCCGTCTTTGCGTACTGGTACCTGCCCCGTAGCGCGGCCGAGGCCAAGTTCCTGGACGAGGAGGAGAAGGCGCTCGCTTACCACCGGATGCAGACGGACTCTTCGTCCGTCGTGTCGGAAAAGTTCAACCTACGCGACTCGATGGCCATCTTCAAGTACCCGTCGACGTACATGTTCCTGCTCATCGAGATATGCCTGGGCGTGCCGCTGCAGTCGGTCAACCTGTTCATGCCGCAGATCATCACGCGCCTGGGCTACAGCACCGTCAAGACGAACCTGTACACGGTGGCGCCCAACGTGACCGGGGCGGCCATGCTGCTGGTTCTGGCCTTTGCGTCCGACTTTTCGCGCCTGCGCTTCCCCTTCATCATGCTGGGCTTCGCCTTCACCTTCATCGGCTTCATCATCTACGCGTCCATCTCCGACGTCCAGGCCCAGCTCCAGCTCGCCTACTACGCCTGCTTCATGATGTGCTGGGGCACCTCGGCGCCCTCGGTCCTCCTGTCCACCTGGTACAACAACAACATCGCCCACGAGGGCCGCCGAGTCGTCCTCACCTCGGTCGGCGTGCCCTTCGCCAACATCATGGGCCTTGTCTCCAGCAACATCTTCCGCCAGAACGAGGCCCCCAAGTACGAGACCGCCCTCATCACCACCGCCACCTTTGGCGCTTGCGGATGCCTCATCGCCGGCCTCCTCGGCTCCTTCATGATCTTTGACAACTACCGAAGGAACCGCCGCGATGGACAGAAGAAGACGGCCAAAGACGTGCCCACCAGGCTGCTGCGCGAGGGGCCTTCCACGCCGGAATTCCGATGGTTTCTATAGAGTGGCGGTCACAGGGAAGCCAGGGAGCGGATAATCCGGTGCTGTCGCCCGGCGCTGTGCAAAACTCTGCTGTCATCATTGGTGATAATACCCCGTACAGTCATATCACGTGTCCGTGATGCACGAGTGGTCGATCTAAGGACGAGAATGACTGAGACTGAGATTACAATAAAAATACAAAGTCGAGAGATTGAATTAAGATGGCTTGGCAAAGCATAGGTGCCGTCGGCAATTGAGACCGGTAGTGTGAAGGCAGTGATTGTCGAATCAGATAGAGAGTGGTGATGACACGATGTAGAGGACGCGATAGACAGTAGCAAAATACCATGACACGACGATACGACAAAGTAGGTACTGTTACTATTTATTATATCAGTACGTAAATGGAGCATGATGTGCACGATATTACCTTGTAATGATGCCTGTAATCTGTCTACACCACTACCATGCTGATACAGTACTACACAGTCTGCACCGTAGACTGGGGGGACTGATATTACCCCACGTCCCAGTCGTATGTACTCCGTATTACTCCGTAAAATGATGCTGATAGCTGATAGAGAAATTGCCTATCCCTCCCACTCCCCACTATATTAGCGACGGGGATTGTGGATATCTAGAGAGATCGAATCACTGAATGCTACCTGGCCACTGGGCGCGGGCACGTATCACCGGTGGCGATCAAAGTAGAGGCGCACTGTGTGTCGTCGTTCTAATGTTGCTACGTTACAATAACGGGTTCGACTTTCGTACATGCGTAGTCTTGTGGAGTCCAGTTTTGATGTCCGACGCCGAATCACGGAGGGGAAAGGGTTCAATAGGGCAGTGGAAGAAGGATCGTGAGCTCTCGGTAACACACGTGGAAGAAGGAGGGGGCGGTTGACGGCTTCTATTCTTTATTCTCTATTTCTTTTCTCGTTCGATCCCTCCAGTATTGCCATCTATCAATCTTTCTCTCTCCCATTTTCGGGGTCTACGATTAGCCAGATAGAGAAGCGGCTATCCTCGGCCGGGAAGGACTGAGATAATTGATGACGACGACGGACGGCAGGATAACACGAAGAGGGGGCGATAGAAGGCACGGAAACAGGAAATGTACTCCCCAGCGATCGGAGACGGGCTCGACACCCTGGACACGCCGTCCATGGTAGTAGACCTGGACCTGATGGAGGAAAACATCCGAAAGCTCATGAACAAGCTCCTCCCCACCGGCGTCAACATCCGTCCACACCTCAAGACTACCAAGAGCGCCATTCTGGCCCACAAGCTGGTCGCCGGGGGCGCCAAGGGCGGGTGCGTCGCCAAGCTGAGCGAGGCCGAGGCCATGGCGGCAGCAGGTTTCGACGACCTCCTCATCACCTGCGAAGTTGTGGGCCCGGCCAAGGTATCCAGGCTGGTCGAACTGTTCCGCTCGCACGGGGGGATCCGCATCGTCGTCGACAGCGCCGAGGGTGCGACGGCCATCCACGAAGCACTGAGAAGATCGGGCATCCCGGACCCGATAGACACGCTCATCGACCTCGACGTCGGTCTGCACCGCACCGGCGTGGCGCCGGGCCAGCCGGCTCTCGATCTGGCGCGGCATGTGGCCGGGCTGGACCGTCTCCGCCTCATCGGCGTGCAGGGGTACGAGGGTCACCTGCAGCACCTGCACGACCGGGAGGACAGGAAGGCCCGCTGTCTCGAGTCCATGGCCACGCTGACGGGCACGGCCGATGCGATCCGCGGCCTGGGCCTCCCCGGGGTCGACATCTCGGTCGTCACCACGGGCGGGACGGGAACGGCCGAGTTCTGCGCCACCGTCGAGGGCATCACGGAGCTGCAGCCCGGGTCGTTCATCTTCATGGACACCGACTACCGCAATGCTGTCGGCACCTTCTACTCCAACAGCCTCACCCTGCTCGCCACCGTCATCAGCCGCCAAGGTCCCCGGCAGGTCACCATCGACACCGGGCTCAAGTCGCTCACCACCGACAGCGGGCTGGCCGAGTGTCGTGACGACCGGTACGAGTACGGCTGTCTCGGAGATGAGCATGGGTCCCTCGTGTGGAACGACGGCACACCGGACCTTACCATCGGGGACAGGGTGCATATGGTACCTAGCCACATCGATCCCACCATCAACCTCCACGATGTGTACTATGCTTACCGGAAGGGAATCATTGAGGAGATCTGGCCCGTCGACACCCGTGGCAAGGTGCAATAGGATGGAAATGAGGGAGCGCAGAGAAACAGCGGCAAAAGTAGAAGATCATATCAAATTATTTTAAATTGAAAAAAGAAAAAAAAGAAAAAAAAGAAAAGAAAGTATGCATGTTGGCTGTTAGTGGGGAAGCAATACATTGATGGCAAAACGAGAGAAGTACTATCTATATACATCGGCCGTACATGACGCCGCCTCGTAGTCCCGAAATCCCACACTTATGACGCCGATGGATATAAATAGAGGATGTAAAGCTAAGATTCATAGGGCGTATACTCCAGTGCCAAGATGCAATGCGTAGAGATGCCCCCCATACGATAAAAACATGAAATAAAAGAATACCGTTCTGTCGTAAACCGTAGTATCCGTCCGCCCATCACGAGAGTTCCATCATCTACACAGGGCTTGTCCTAGCCTTGACCATGGCCAGACCACCCGGGTCTCGCTCGAGCAGACGAAGAGCCTCCCTCGCAAAGGGTACGGCGGTGCCCCTGACCCTGAGAGCCCAGCGGAGGTCTTCTATACGCGCAGCGCACCACGCCATTTCGTCCGCCGAGTCCGCCGTTGCCCAGAGCAGGCCGGCCAGCGAGCCGATCCCCGCAGCCTGATAGGCCGAGGCGCTTCCCCAGAAGGCAGCCGTGTGCTCCGGGCGCAGCTTGGTCAGAAGATCGATGGCGGCCTGGACCTTGGAGATGGCCGTTGAACGGAGTGCCTCGTGCAGCGGCTCGGGCGTGTCGGGTGTCATGGCCCGGATGAGGGCACGATACAGCGTGATCTCGACGGACGCGTGTGCCAGGTGCAGGGCGCCGTTGGCGCAGAGCTCCCGGAACGATGTGTTCTCCAGCCGCAGGTGCTTGGGCAGGTTCGAGTGCCACTCGCGCAGCCGGAAGACGAGCGGCTTAGCCATCTCCACAGCCGCTACGATCCCCATCTGGTCCAGCGTGCCACCTGCCCGGGTGGCCGTCATGCTGTAGAACCCGTCAATCACCTCGCTTAGGAGCTGCGCCAGCTCAATATGTCTCAGGAAGAGCTCCCAGCCCGTCGTGATGGCCGAATCGGTGCCTGCGACTCCCTGCAGTTCTGGGTAGTCTGATGCCGTGCAGGGCTCCACATCCCAGTCGACATCGCGGATGAGAAACGGCCTCCCGTGCACGCATGCGCCCCACCGGTCCTGCATGTACAGTGCCCATGCTAGGCGTCGGCGCAGTCCAATCTCCCATTCGGGAATTGACCACGAGCTGCAGTTAACGTGGATCCCCAGGTCCTGGGCCATGGCCACCAGCTGGGCCGTGAAGAGGCGGCTCGACGCCTGATCCGTATGTGCGCCAGATTCGACTATGCGTCCATTGCGCTGTAGGAGTAGCAGTCCGGCCTCGAGCGTGCTGAGCTTGGGCCGCCGCATATCCTGCGCTATCGTAATTTCTGCTAGCTCCTCGAGGGAAGCCGGGTCCGGTATCGTCTCAATTTCCCTGCCAGCTAGTGAACTGTCATAAAGCTGCCAGTCGAGCGCGAGGAGATAGACGGCGGCCAGAAGCGAAGGTGCAAAGTGTCGGTACGACACTCGGTGCTTGCTAATAAAAACGTCTTTATGTAGAATAGGGAATGACGGGTGGACGATGCGGAAGTAGAGATCGACCAGTGTTCGTCCTAGAGGCTGCACCGTGGCCTCTATGGCATCGAGATCGGCGATGCGCCGGGCCTCTGAGGCTGCCGTCTCATCGGCATGTACGATGAAGCTGGTCCGGTCATCGAGCCGACGAGCGAAACTTGAAGGTGTCCGACCGGGTGATGCGGGCGGCTCGGGACGGTGGAGATCGAGGAGGATGGGATCACGGCAGTCGGTACGGCCGACGTATTGGGCGTGAGTACCTAGATCGAGACCGAGTGTATTGCTCAATATACGGGGGCGTGGTGCCTCAAAGTAATTCTGTGATGGCGGGACAGTCTGATGCTGTGTTTGCGACGATGACCGGCTCGACCGGTCTTCGGGCGACGTTACCTGGACATCGTTGGCGCCAGCGTGACCGTGGTAGATGGTAGCAGCACCTTGTCGGTTGGGCGGTGATCCGGCATTTACTGCAGACTCGAGGCTCGGGTGCCGGTCGCCGTGGCTTGGTTGGTCGTCGTCCTGGCCAGGTCGCTGTCCGTCGACGCGCTCACGATCTCGGTTCTGGCGACGACGTGGGGTCGGCCCGCGCAAGAAGGTGCAGGGCTGATTGTGGAAGGTGCACAAGACACATCGGAGCTGACCCTCGTCGCGTACGCAGCGTGTTTTGCGCAGTCTGCACGTGTCGCACGGCCGAGATCGGGATTGCGATTGCGATTGTGATTGCGGAGGACCAGTGGTGGTGCCCGGTGGTTGTCGTGGTGCGATGGTATTCAGATTCGGCCCCACCCCCAGCATGGCAAAATCTCCTCCCCCGCCACCGTCGATGAGTCCCGGACCTGGTGGTGAAGGCATCGAGAGAAGCCGCCCGGTCGATGTCGTCTACCGTGCGTTTGGTATATAAAGGCCAAGAGAGCTTGTACAAGGCGGAAGGGCTGCTGCTTAGTGGTAGTGGTAAAAAGATGGGGCTGTCGGGGTGTGATTCGCATGGTCAGGAACACCACAGAGCCCATCGCCAGCTCGAGCCCCAAGGTGTGCGAATATAGAGACGTACGGATCCATGAGACCAGTCCCGGTTAACGGAACTGTGGGGGCGGAGTCGAGATGCGGAGGTCACATTCAATCAAGTTCATCCGATAAGGTATCTAGATGTGAGGGGCGAGAGACGCTGGTCGCGCTGCATACCCAACGCCAGACTATTGAAGGAACGGGCAAAGAAAATTCCGTTGCCTTTGGATGGTGAGCACTTGATAGTGGACACTGGTGATTGATTGGGTGGGTATTATCAGAGGCTGAAAATAGGAAACAGGGGAAGGTGCAGTGCAACCACAATGCAGTTTGGGTGCTCTTTCCTTTCTGTTGGGGTATTATTTTTTATAATTTACTGGAGAACTCTAGCATCTGTTACGACTAGTGGTATGACCTCATCTTCACCACGAGAGGAAAAATAACAATTATATGCACTCCTACTTTCGTCCATAGATAAAGGCTACTGATATTGAAATACTGATACAAACAACAAATCGCATTTTTCGAGTTTCCATTTACTGCTGTGAAAAGAGATGCCCGGCGCCCTCTACTTGCAATACAATCCAGATCCCAAGGTAATTGGCAGCTGCCCGCCTATTCGCCGGCGGCCTCGATCCAAGACAGTGGACCTTAATCATCCAATCAAATGACAAGCCCTACGACCACCAGGGTAGCTCCTGCCAACGCCGCCGGCCCTTGGTAAATTGCTCCCTTCATCATGAAAGTCGCTCCTTCATGATGGCCACTTGCACAGTGAAGCACGATAACTACTCGGAGCGCTTCCACGAACTGGGGCTTGCATCATCCCGACCCTCATTAGACGGACACCTCTAGATGGCTTGACGGGGGTCTCCTGACAGCAACTGGTTGTCATACAATCCTCCATGTCCTGGTGATAGATAACAGCCTGTCTACGGTATTTCCAAGCCTCTACCATTATTTCCGTGCGTCACTGAACGCCTTGTTGATGAACACCACCATACATCCCATACCCAATATCGTTGACCATTCTGCACGCCTTCGCCCGCCGCCGGCCGTTGCACAGCTTACACTATATTCTTCTCATGCATCACCATCACATATCCTTTCTGCTCTTTGCGACTGTGTGACCATGTACTATTGCGATTATATGAGAGCCGCCATGCCCCCCCTCCCGAGTCCTCTGCCTTCTAGCTCCTGCTGTTGAGGCGAGACATACCACCGTTTTACCAGACCAGGAACCATTTTACGAGCCATCGACATACTTCTTCTCATCATGGACTGTTCGACCCCACGAGTTGCCCTTGTGCCTCTCAGCATTGCCGACTGGAAAACAGCTCAGGCAGGTGGCCATGGTCTTCAGCGGCTGTATAAACTTGTACAGGAAGAGCACATAACCAACCCAGAAACGCACGCTTGGATCTCTCTGGCCACCGAGGAGCAGCTTGAAAACCAATGGATTGCTCTGGAGAAGCGTGGGAGCCCTGATACCCTCCCCTTGTACGGGGTGCCGTTTGCTGTCAAGGACAACATTGATGTTGACGGCTTTGTCACTACAGCTGCTTGCCCCAGCTTCAGCTCTAGCCCTGCCGCCTCGGATGCGGCCGTCATCTCCAACCTCAAGGCCGCTGGTGCTATTGTCGTGGGAAAGACAAACCTTGACCAGTTCGCCACTGGTCTGGTCGGAACACGTTCGCCTTATGGTGCTGTCACCAACTCCTTTGACCCAGGCCGCGTCAGCGGTGGCTCAAGCTCAGGTAGCGCCGTCGTCGTCGCTCGTGGCCGCGTTCCCTTCTCTCTCGGTAGTGACACTGCAGGCTCCGGCCGCATTCCTGCGGGACTGAACAATATTCTTGGGCTCAAGCCTACCCGTGGAGCTCTCAGTGCCCGCGGTGCCCTCCCAGCTTGCCGGACTCTCGACTGCATCTCCATATTTGCGCTTACGGTAGACGACATCGACCTGGTCCTATCTCTAGTGGAAGGTTATGATAGCCAAGACCCATACTCTCGACTACGTCCGGACGAGGGCCTCGGCCATAAAAAAGGGGGATTCGGTAGCCGTGCTTGTATGTCACGTCCGTCCCTAGGAATATGTGCAGACCCACAATGGTTCGGCAGAGATGACCACCACCCAGCATATACAAAAGCCCTCGAAAAGGCCAAGTCCCTGGGGTGGAGATTGACGCCCGTGGATTTCCAGCCGCTCCTCCAACTCGCGCAACTGCTCTATTCGGGCCCCTGGGTTGCTGAGCGTTACCATGCTATTCGCTCTTTCATCCGGTCCGAGCCCCAATCCTTGGACCCGGTCGTTCGGGGAATCATCCAAAGCGCAGAAAGTTTCTCTGCTTCCGACGCTTTCGAGGGGGAGTATCTCCGTCAGGATCTGACGCGCAAAATACAAACGACCCTCGCCTCCTTTGACGGCCTCCTAGTTCCCACTTCGCCGACGTTCCCAACCATGGAGCAAATTGCTGCTGATCCGGTAAGAGAAAACTCACTGCTTGGAACCTACACCAACTTTGTCAACTTTCTCGACTGGTCTGCTCTCGCCATTCCTGCAGGCTACAGGCCCGACGGTCTCCCATTTGGAATCACTCTTATTTCCGACCGCTGGAGAGAACCCCAGCTCTCTTCGTGGGCCCGTGAGTGGTTCTCTGGCCAAGTGAGGACTTTGGGGGCCACATCTGTCGAGATAACAGAGCCTACTGTGACCAGTGTGTCGACCATCCCGGGGCACGTGCAGGTGGCAGTGGTGGGCGCGCATCTCTCTGGTTTCCCTCTCAACAAGGACCTCGTGTCCCGGCAGGCTACCATAGTTAGGGCTACAAAGACATCGCCTCACTACCGCTTTTTCGCACTTGAGTCGAAGTTAGGTCCCAAGAAGCCCGGGCTCAGGAGAGTCCTTTCACAAGAAGAGGGTGCGGCTATCGAGCTAGAGGTCTGGAACCTCCCCGAGATTTCTCTTGCGAGCTTCATGGCAACTATCCCATCCCCGCTCTCTCTTGGAAAGGTAGAGCTCGCTGACGGTTCATGGATCACCGGGTTCTTGTGTGAGCCCTATGGACTACAATCGGCCATCGATATCACCGAATATGGTGGCTGGAGGGCTTACCAGGCTACACTCGATGATGACGCAGCAGGCTCCTCTTCCAAGGCCGTCAGCAAGGTCCTGATTGCCAATCGCGGTGAAATAGCCTTGCGAATTATCGAGACGCTTCACAAGATGGGCCTCGTGGCGGTGGCAATTTACTCAGACATTGATGCTGACTCTCTGCACGTCCGGAATGCCGATATATCCCTGAGGCTCGAGGGTACTTCCGTCTCGGAAACATATCTCAATGTGCAACAGATAATCAGACTGGCTAAATCAAAGTCTGTCGATGGCGTCATACCTGGATATGGGTTCCTTTCTGAGAATGCCGAATTTGCGACTGCTGTACAAGAAGCTGGCATGATCTGGATTGGCCCTACCCCTGAGCACATGTCCGTTCTGGGGTTGAAACACCGTGCACGAGACGTCGCCATATCAGCCAATGTGCCCACCGTACCGGGAAGTAAGGGACTTCTCACATCTCTTGATCATGCCCTTGATGAAGCCGAGAGGATCGGGTTCCCGCTGATGCTCAAGAGCACTGCTGGTGGAGGGGGTATTGGAATAAGCCAGTGTTCTGACGGCGAAAGCCTCAAGAAGGTTTTTCACGACGTTCAAAGGCAGGCCGCTGCCAATTTTGGCGATGGCGGTGTTTTTCTCGAAAGATACGTGCAGAAGGCCCGTCATATTGAAGTCCAGATCCTGGGCGATGGAAATGGCCGTGTCATCGTCGCCGGCGAACGAGACTGCTCTTTGCAGCGCCGCAATCAAAAGGTTATCGAGGAGAGCCCTGCTGCTATGGTTCCATGGGATGTGAGAGATAGGATGCGAGCTGCTGCTGAGCGCCTCGCTTCGTCGGTCAAGTATCTCAATGTTGGTACTGTCGAGTTTATCTACGATATGGACAGGCAGGAGTTCTACTTTCTCGAGGTCAACACCCGGCTACAGGTTGAGCACCCTGTCACAGAGCAGGTCACGGGTCTCGACTTGGTGGAATGTATGATCAAGGTTGCCACTGGTCAGGCTGACCACTTGTTCACAGCTGGCCGGGAATCCGTTCCTGTGTCGGGTGCCTCTGTTGAGGTCAGGATATACGCCGAGAGTCCACTGGAAAACTTTTGTCCTTGCTCTGGACGCATCACAAAGCTCCGACTCCCTTCAACAGTTCGTGTCGACACCTGGGTGGAAGAGGGGACCAACGTCACGACATCGTACGATCCGATGCTCGCCAAGCTTATAGCCTTTGGGCGAGACCGTGAGGAGGCTATCGAGAAGCTATCTGAGAGTCTCGTGCTTACAACAATCGAAGGAGTGCAGACAAACCTCGAATACCTGCGACAAATTGTCACCTCCCGTCTCTTCAAAGGTGGCAATTTCACGACAAAATCTATGGACACATTTCAGTTCATCTCGCCTTCCCTCGAGGTCTTGGACCCTGGAGCGCTTACCACAGTCCAAGATTTTCCGGGCAGACCTGGATACTGGAGCGTGGGCATCCCCCCAAGCGGGCCAGCTGACAATGTGTCTTTCCGCCTCGCCAATCGACTTGTCGACAATCCGTTAGATTTTGCTGGCCTCGAATGCACTCTCCAGGGGCCCTCGCTGAAGTTTCACTGCGAGGCCGTCATTGCTGTCACCGGAGCCGAGGCTCAGTTGGAGTTGGATGGTGAGCACATTGCCTCACACAGATCTCATCGTGTGCAGCCCGGTCAGATCTTACGGATCGGCGACTTCACCACCGGCTACAGAGTCTACCTGGCCATCAAGGGCGGGATCCAAGTTCCGATGGTATTTGGCAGCAGATCTACATTCGAACTCGGGAAGATGGGTGGTTTCAATGGCCGGAAACTCCGGGCTCGTGATATCATTCCACTGCAATCTCCTGTATCCGAGCCGGTATCTGTTGCTCGCACTGCCACCCCTGCTCCCATACCATCCCAGCCACATGCTGAATGGCGGATACGGGCCGTGCCCGGCCCCCATGGGGCCCCGGATCATTTCACACACGACAGCGTCAAGGAGCTATTCTCGAGCCCCTGGAAGGTTCACCATAACAGCAACCGACTGGGTGTGAGGCTCACCGGTCCCCGTCCCGAATGGGCCCGCGCCACCGGCGGTGAGGCAGGCCTACACCCCTCCAACATCCACGACAGTCCGTACTCGGTTGGAAGTGTGAGCTTTACTGGAGACGAGGCAGTGGCGCTCACATGCGACGGTCCCAGCCTTGGAGGATTTGTGGTGTTTTGCGTGGTGGCGTCTGCCGATCTATGGAAGCTGGGCCAAGCCCGTCCCGGAGACACCATATACTTCCACCCTATCGACGTTGACGAAGCTCTTGGGCTTGAAAAGCAACTGAGAAGTGCCATTGAGAGTCTGGGACCGCTCCCAGAGGCTGGTGAACATGATTCGACCATTCTGGCTGAGCAGGTGGTGAACCAGCCCGTGGTTCTCGCCAGGATCGAAGGCAGCGGCTACGAGATGAGCGTGCGGCAATCTGGCGAGCAAGCTCTGATGCTACTTCAAGACGACAGGTTCAATCTGCGTCAAAACTTCATCACCCTGGCCTTTTGTCGACACCATGAGCAGAAGCCTATCCCCGGAGTTGAGGAATTAACTCCTGGAGTGTGCAGTCTGCACGTCATCTTCAAGGCTGGGATTTCCACCGCAACCATGATCGGCCGCATCAAAGAGCATGTCGACTCTTACGTGGTACCGAGCTCTCTGCCGTCTCGGACGGTCTACATGCCGTTTGCCTTTGACGACGCCGTGTCCCAAGCCGCTGTGCAGAGGTACACTGACACCATCAGAAACGAGGCTCCCTGGCTACCGAGCAACGTGAATTTCCTGCAGGAACTAAATGGGATAGATGACATCAAGAGCCTGATGCACCGTGCCAGGTTTATAGTCATCGGCCTCGGCGATGTCTTCATGGGGTCCCCCTGCGCTGTGCCACTGGATCCGCGCGATCGCCTCTTTGGCACCAAGTACAACCCATCTCGCTCGTTTACGCCCAAGGGCGCCGTCGGAATAGGCGGCCAGTACCTGTGCATCTACGCCACAGACTCTCCCGGTGGATACCAGCTTGTCGGGCGCACCAAGGAGATTTGGGACTCGGACCGCGTGCCCTCGGGGCCCGTCTTGGAGGACGGCAACGTGCCGCCCTGGGCCTTTCGCCTGTTTGACCGTATCGCCTTCTACCCGGTCACGGAGGAGGAGCTCGACTCCAGGTCGTTTGCAGAGCTCGTCCGCGTAGAGGACGGTGAGCTCGACATTGCCGAGTACGAGGCCCTGCTCGACAGAGACCAGGAGGACATCGCAGCGTACAAGGCGTCTCAGTCGAGGGCCATTGCCAACGTGTCCTTTCTCGATCAGCTCACACAGCCTTTCCACCCGAGCAGGGATGCGTCCAAGATGCATGCCAAGGAAGCGGACACGACCGGAGAACGTGTCAGAGCGGTGATACCGGGACGCTGCTACAAGGTCAATGTCAAGGAGGGAGATGTGGTGAAGAAGGGAGATATACTGGTAAGTCTACATTGATGAGCCTATACGAATGCAGTTGGACCTCTGTGCTGATATGTTGGGGGAGGGGAAGATTTATGTTGAATCGAGTAAAATGGAGGTTGGTCTGGAAAGCCGAACGTCAGGAAGGTGTGTGGCCGTCCTCGTGGAGGCGGGTGACATGGTGGAGGCGAATGACGACCTGGTGATTCTAGCTACGGCATGATTGTTTTCCCCGTTCTCTTCTTGGATGTTTCCCTCCGGTTCTTAACGATAGTACCACGAACCACGAAACATGAATGGCTTTAATAACACTTCACCAATTTCATATTCCACACAGACCTTGTACCTGACTGCATGGATGCAGAGAGGACTCAGTGCCATCAACCTCCTCGGGCACCTTGTAGCCAGCGACCCTCCTGCTCAGCACGAAAATACTCCCTCTACTGCACTTACAGTCCAAGACTCTCCAGGGCACGCCCTGTCTGTCTGCCTAGACTAACGTCGACGGCGCCGTCATCGACACCGTGACCGAGGAAACACAGGCGTGAGGCATAGTGACTGTCCATGATGAGTGCTGACAGCATAAGCCTGGATGGCGGCATATGGTGGGGATGGCCATGGAGTGGGCGATTGAGCCAGTCCTTCCGCCAGAATGCGTTCACCTCATCGCAGCAGTTGTCGGGTGCGGCTACAACGCCCTGCAAGAGCTGCGATATCTCATCCGCAAATGCTAACCACGTACCCGCACCGATGAACCCTGCCAAGGGCAGCGCGCTACCGCCACGGAACAGCCAAGTCCACATCCCCACGGCAGCACCCTGACTTATCCCGCCCAACACGATCCTGTTGCCGCCGCATCCCGCCTTCTCTAACCGGTCCGCCTCATCACGCACCAATTCGGACAGGTGGCTCAGACGACACCCTGATTCCCGGAATCTGCAGCCCCCGCTTCGCGCTCGTGTCCGTGGGCGGCATGGTCTCAGATCAGTATGGCATGTCCTCTTGGAAAGTGGCGCTCCATAGTGACGAAGAGGAGGAAAACACCCGGCGCCATGAGGAGGATCTGTGCGGTAGAGTCTCCTCCTCCTGCTGCTGCTGCTGCTGCTGCTGCTGCTGACCAATCGTTGTAGAAGAGTCGATGAGGTCCGCGGCGAATTCGGGGCTGGAGTTGCCTAGGCTGTGTAGGAGGATGACCGTGTGGGTGTGGGGGGCAGTTGGGTGAGGAAGGTATGATATGGACTGGGCCGAAGAGCATGCCATTGATTCCGACCATGCTGAGATGTGAGGGCGGGTTGGTCAAGGGCATGCGAGTGTGGCGAGGGTGTAGTACCCCCCGGTAGGACGGCCGGAGGCGGAGCCAGTGGTTTTGCAATTGCTGACGTTGATAGGAGTGAGCGATGACGAGTCACGTAGAATGCATAGCATTGCTTATAGTACAAGAACCTGTGAACGTTTTTATCTTTCGAGCCCTATTATTCCATTTGAGCGACTGAGAGGGAAAGATTTGAATCTTGTTGGTACGCGGTACATTGAGTGACGGGGGATGATAATGCTGGACATGATGGTGATGCCCGGTACCCTCTATGTGTATAATGCACGCAGTATTGTTATTTAAAACAGTCCAAGAGTACGTAGAGGAAGTGGAAAGCAGGAAAAAAAAGAAAAAGAAGGAAAGTGGGAGGGGACAAGATGAGTTAGATGACACCGGGAATGACGGCGTACTTTTTCCGAATCTTGTCCTCACCAAAATGCTCACGATACCACGCTTTTCCACGCACAGCACGGGGCAGCATGGCGGCGATCTCGTTGACGAGGAAAGCGCGAGCGGGAGCGCACGACCAGCCGGCGGCGAGCCAGAAGCCAGACCACTCCACCCACTCGCATAGGTAGTGAGCGAAGAGGACGTAGCGAAAGAGGCCGGCCTCGGGGATGCGGTAGTGGCCTCTGACGAGTGCGGGGGCGGTGCCGGACCTGGCGGCGACGTCGTCCTGGCGGCGCCTCTCCCGGCGGCGTATCTCGCGCAGCTCCTCGTCGTGGAAGTAGTTGGACGCGAGGCCGAGGTAGAAGACGGCGACGCCGACGACGAAGCGCGGCGTCGACAGCGGGACGTCGTCCCAGTCGGCGTCGTGGACGGGGCCGTAGGCCGCCAGCCACGACCCCAGGCACGTCGCGTTGAGCACCTGGAAGCCCAGGGCGGCCAGCCAGACGAAGACGTGCACGGGCGCCATGCTGGGCTGCAGGAAGGGGAAGGCCACAGCCCGGTAGGCGTAGTGCATCACGAACAGAGCGGCGAGCACCTTGTTCTGCCAGGGCAGGTCGCCGTGGGACATCTTGCCCATCAGGTAGCCCAGCGTCAGGAAGCCGGGGGACTCCATCGTCAGCCAAGCCCACCGGCCCGGGATGTTGAGAAGGCTCGGCGTGGACGTCTTGCCCATGCCGTACCATCCTATCACCCACTGGATCGATCCGGTCTGTTTTGCTTACCACCCCACCACCCCGGGGGCCTAGGCCCCTCCCCGGCCACGTCTCAGTTTAGCATATGATCTCCGTCTGCTGAGGGATGCCCTCGGTTCGGTTGTGTTCACCCGTGCTGTCTGCTTACAACTAGGTATCCCCATTGGAATGCTGTCAGGATGAGGTCGTAGTGCTCGCGCGTGGGAGGCATCCAGCCCTCCCACAGTGTCGGCAGCTGCCCTGGCATCTGTTGGAGCTTCTCCATCATGTTTCCGTTTCTGCTCCTTCTTCTTCTTCTTCTTCTTCCTCTTCTTCTTCTGTCTCCGCAACGTTCGGTGTCGGTCTTGTGCAGGTTGAGTTGGGTTTTCGCAGTTGAGCGTGGGGTGTCGTGACGCTATTGAGTCGAGTCCAAGGGGAAAGAGGCCACCTGGTTGAGGGAAGAAGAGTAAAAGGATCCACTACGACGACAGTCTGACCCTAGTCATCGATCATCATTCGCAAATCAACCTATCAACCTAAACAAAAGAGGCCAGAAGGTGGCAATTCTCATCATACGTCATCTGCTACTATTAGTAGACAAGATTTCTTTTTCTAGATATCCAATTATCCTGTATTCATACATTTTTACTTCCTTGTATTATATATATATATATATATTTACCCAAAAAAAAAAAAAAAAAAAAGGCGTAAAACAACGACCAAAGGGCAGCCCCAACTCCACAACCAACAGCAGATAGAAAGAGAGTGCTAAGAAAAATGACAGCCTGAAAGCTCCAAGTAATATAATACGCGGGACATGAGATGTATATCGTCCAGAAAAAAAAGCTCTCCGTCCAAGGGAAATCAAAGGTTCCAGGATCATAGTATACGCTACATGACCCGACAATCACGGTCCCTGTTTCTCCCAATCCCCTCACCCGATGGCCGTATACTCGTAGACGATCCCATCGCCGACGGACGCTGGCCGTACCCGTACCGTCCTGGTCTCCCGGGCGGCACATCAACACTCGCATTGCTAGTCGACGGCCCGGAGACATCTGTCGAGCTTGTCTCGTGGCTTGGGTGGCCCATCGGAGGCCGGAATGGCTCGTCGTGGGCTGCCTGCTCATAAGGCGGCGGCACATCTGCCGTCTGGTGCGGCAAGTCCTGACCGCGGGGTGGGAGCATGGGTCGGATGTTTTGTGGCGAGGCCGGCGGTGCCGGCATTGGCGACGTTCGCTGGTGTTGCGGCCTTGCAGCATCCGGACGAGTCACGTAGGTATTGACGTTGGAGCTGCGGCGCGCCGGAGCGATGCTGTGGTTTCCCGACGACGCCCTGGTGCCGCTCGTCGACGAGCCGTACGGCCGTCGCCCCTGCTGCTCAATGTACTGATTCGTTGTCCGCTGCTCCCTTTCGCGCCGCGCATCCTCTCTCTGCCTCTGGTCCTCCTCTTCCTGGAGTTGGAGAGCCAGGGCCATGTCGCGATCCTCCTGCTCCCGGGCGTCCAGCCCTGGTTCGGCTGCCGCCGCCGCCGCCGCCTCTGCCTCCGAGGACGTCCCCGGAGCCTGGCTGGCGCCCCGGCCGCCCCGCCTGTTCCGTACCGCAGTCCAGTCGCCACCGCTGCCACTTTGCCTGTTTCCGGCCCCGTCGAGCGTGGTCAGCTGTCCGTGGTCGATGACTTTGAAGTCGCCAGACAGGTACTGCGTACGTTGCCCGCTCGTGTCGACGAGGCTCTCCCACACCACGTCTGGGTAAGACCGGTATCCCTCGTCCGTCACCAAGGTGACGAGTTCCAGGGTCTGGGGGTGGCAGTATAGAGTGCTGAAGTGGTCGTTTCGGAACAGTATGGCAAACGTGCCTGGTCGGATGGCCTTGGAGATGACGTCGATACCCCAGGGGGTGAGCTGCGTGGCAGACGAGTCGAGGAATGCCCGTATCGTCACGATATCCTGATACAGCAGCTGCTCCTCGCCAGTGAGTCCGTCCGTCGAGTCGGACAGCTTCATCTCCAGCTCCTCCTGCCTGAAGAGGAGGTTCTGCGCATCTTCGTACGACTGTGCCTGGCGCTCAAGAGCCCCATACACTACATCGTCGACTTGTGGAAGCCATCCGTGGATGAGGGGAATCTTGAATGTCGCGTATAGGGACATCTCATGTGTATTCTCAAATGTACCCGGGATGAGATTTCCCCTGTCAGAAGGTCTCAGCTGCGTCAGTGAGGTCCGTGCGTAGGCCTGTCTTATTTCACGGGACGGTATGAACCGCGGGTTGACATTCATGCCTGTGTGCAGGCTCATGAGAAACGCGTACAGGTCCCCGACATCGGGCAGTGGTGCGTCTGGGTTGGTCCGACGCGGGGACATGAGCTCCTCGAACACGGCATCTAGGAGAAGGTTCAGACTGATCTGTTCTCGCGATCTCAGAACATCCACAAGCGATGCATCATCGACGTCGGCGGGTGTCGTCAGCGAGAGGGCGTTGACCAAGGCAACCAGAGGGCAGGGTCCGTTGGCGTTCTGGACCAGGATGGGAGAGGGGCGCGGATTCTGCGAAGTTGTGGCGTCGTTCCATTTGATCTTCTTGATCTGGTACATCTCCGTCTTGGTGTCGACTGCTGGCCGGGGCGAAAGCCACCGACCGTCATTGCCAGAAGTCGATGGCCGCGCACGCCGTTGCTCTCCTGTGTCCTCGGCAGATCTATCTTCGGCGACTGCAGAGCCTTCCCCGAGGTCGACAAGCTTCCATTCATCTACCTGGGCCTCTGCTGCTCTCTCTTTACCCTTGTCTGGCCTTTCAAATGCGTCCAGACCGGTCCAGGCGTTGCTTTCGCCGGTCGTTGCCTGTCCTTGAGAGACATCGGCCCAGGTCGAGTCGTCGTCAGAGGGGAGGGAAGCTATCGCGGGTGAATGGGATCGGGAGCGTCGATCCTGCGACGCCCCTGCCTCGATCGGGGCCACAATCTTGGGCGGCGGCTGAGGAGACGGCGCCTTTGATATGGATGGTATTCCTGTAGGCTGGGCCGATACATCGAGTATCGGAGGGGCTGATGGCCCGCGCGTACATGTCGGCGGTTGAGCTGGAGATGCGTACGAAACGGCCTGTATCGTCGCCGGGGGGAGGGTGGTGGTGTCTGGTGCGTGGGCGGGGATCCCTGAGGTCAGTTCCCACACGCTACTTGGGTCGGCAAGCCGCACTGCGGGAGCTGCAGCAACGGGGGAGTCGTCTGGAAAGTCGAGAGCGGGCGAGTAATCGCGGTCAAGGGGCTTCGACTCCCAAGGATTTGTCCCGGACGTCGAGGTAGCGGGCGGTGTACCGTAGTCAGATGCCGACCTGACAGTTCCCGACCTCCCCAGCTGCTGATGCTGCTGCCATGGATTAGGTGGCGCATCTGTCGTACGCAACCTGGATAGAGCCTCTGTTGGAGGTGCAACCGAGCTCTGCGATGACTTATTTCGCAAGAACGGGTTGGTCTGAGCTCGTCCACCGCCTGGTAGCAGAGCATCTGGGACGCCATTCGGTCCGGATGACCCCGTACCTTGCGGCTGCTGCTGCCCAACCGGGGCGGGGTGTGTGTTGTGGCCAGAACCTGTGCCTGTCTGCGTACCATTACTGGCTGCTGCCTTCAGCTCGCTGTCCTCTCCGTCCGACTCGTCCGAGTATATTTCCCACGAGTCTTGTCGAGTGAGATTTCTCGATGGATCGTTGCTATCGGGCTCACGAGCTGGCGCCGTCATGTTTGGTACAGGCTTTCTCGGTATCGCCATACCGTTGAGCGGACCTAGCAGTTAGACAACCGGAGATATAGCTGCCTCCAGGCCAGTGTGTAGCAGATGTGTGCGTATTCAAGACCTTTTTTTAAAAAAAATAAAAAAAAGAAAAAAAAAAGGGTTGAGCGTGAGCCAAATCGTTGTTGTAGCTGCCAAGAAACCACGTCGCCCCGCTGCGCCGTAGGTAATACCGCCCCGCTAAGCACTGAGCTGGGTCAGGTCACGTCGTCAGGTTCAAGAACAGTGCAGGCGGTAAGGGGCAGGCGATAAGCAGATCCAATGAGGCCAGCTAGTAGTCTAGAAAATGGGGAGCTTGGGAGCTTGGGAACACCGGATCATCACAAGGTCGTGCACATCTCGGTGGGCTTTCAAGACCCGACTGCCCAACGGGGAATAATATATGTCGTAATGATGCCCGCCGAAAGCTGGGGTAGGAGTCCACGAGTTCCACGACGTACCTGACGTGGCTTACGGTGTAATATTGCCTGACGAAATATTAATAGGTGTGGCGGTGCATCATCTCAAGTGGCGATGAACGTGGCGTTATGACCCCGCCATCAGCACCAACTCCTCTACGCGCCTGTTCAACTAGCCGTTATGTCCGTAAGCATGTCACGGTCAGATTGAATCTGCCTTGGACTCGTATCATCCGGGCTGACAGCTCTCGTGCTTGACTGATACCTGGGTGAGAAAAGAGATTAACAGATAAAGATAAAAACTTGACAGCTCCTTCCCTTGGCACTTGCTAGGGCCGTATGCAATCCCGGCCGTCCCGGTATCAAGGCCATCGCCCAGGACGGTGCTATCACCAGAATCAGGAGAAGGCCTGGCCCGCATTGATCGTCGCCGGCGTAAACTGAAATGCGACCGCTCATCGCCATGTGGGACCTGCGTCGGGAGGGCAAAGGTGGCTCGTTCTCCATCCCAGCGCTTTGCCCGTCCACTGTCCGGCCCAGCTTCAGACGAAGACTCCCAGGCACGGCGGGACGCGTAGAGCTAGAGAGCAGACTTGACCGCTTGGAGGAGCTTGTCCGGAGGTTGGCCGTCCCACCCACCGTAGCAGCAAATCCGTCCCCGTTCATGACAGCAGGCCGCTATGCTACCGCCCGCGCGACTCCTCCCCAGTCAAGCGAAGGCGATGTCGAGAGCGAGCATGTCTTTCTCTGCCGGCGCAGTGCATCAGCCTTCCGTCTGGAATAGTATCCAGGGCCTGCGTGCTGTCATCTCCAGTCACGGATACTCCCCTCCTATCCAGCAGACGCAGCCACCTCCAGCTGTAAAGCCGGGGCCGAGCGACCAGAACGAGGAGATTGACGTCCTGTTTGGAGGGGCAAGACTGATGAGCTTGCCCGAGACGTTGCAGGCACATCTCCCACCTCGTCCCTCGACTGGATAGCTACATCTCAGCATACTTCAAGAACCCATCCATTGTGGTACGGTTTATCCACGACGGTCAGATACGACATGATCTTCTTCGATATCCCCCACCTCTCCCTCGTCCTGTGGGCAGGATATTCCCATCTCCTCAACATTTTTCAAGGATCGGGAGCCATGGCAAATCCGACCTGCGATCCATGCTACGCGTGTACGGGCCTGAGCGCATCGGTCTGCGGGTCGTCACGACGGGGGCGCTCAGGTGTATCGGCGATAGACTTACAGAACTCTTCCAACTTCGCCTCCGTGCCCCCGTGTGCCCAGAAGATACTGGCGAAGGTGGTGAAATAGCACAGAGTTGGTATGCGGGGACGATGGCAATCTGTGATTTACCGTCCCCCTATAGACTTGCGTTTAGCTCATATCCTGTATCAGAACAAGGCTGCAGATAACAAGCATAGCCTCGTACATGTTCTCGTACATGTGCTCGTATGTTTCCTCCAAAAGGTTGGGGTGGATCATGGCTTGGATCGATACACGTAAACGAAGTCTGGAGGATTCAGAAAGCTGCGCCCGTGGCAGCGTCACACGCTTCTCACCCGGCACAGAAAGCTGTGCGGGTATTACTACACCAGGGTCGGGACGCCACCTCAACGTAGGTAGGTGCATGGGCCAGACCGATATCGGGCCAATGGTCTCGTCCAGCTCGGACTCCCTATGGGCCGGAGAATATCTTCCTTCCCGTCCTCGGCTCCCGGGGATGTCGAGGATTGCTGCATGGGCCGGTTCCGGTGCAGGACGACGAAGAAGCTTCCCGGTCCATCCGATGACGGCGCACGGGAGCAGGGTGAGACCTGGGCACTGACGGAAGACTGGCACTGCCGGTCGGACACGTCTGCCACCCCGTCGGCCGCAACGCTCCGTCGGTAAGAGGGGATAGTCGAGCAGCTCGATGCCTGGTCTCGCATCTGTTCCGTCTCGAGAGCCAGCCTCGTGGCTCAGCTGGGTCACAGCCGCCCGCCCGCGCCGCCCGCCGCTCTGCTTCACTGCCACAGAGTGCCGGTCAAGAGGAGTCGGGCAGCAGGCCATACCGCTCCTCCGCGCGGGCTCAAAGCGGGAGGCGGCGTGGGATCCTGTCCTGGCGGCGTCGATATGTCTCGAGGTCATGCGTATCGAGGAAGAGCCGGCAGCTGTGCCTGAGCATTCGTCCATCAAGTTCTTACCGGTCGGCAAAGCTCTTTGCTGGCGACGATGTCCTCTCCTTGCCAGATATAGCCGAGCCCCGCAGGGCCAGTGACGTCCAGGTCCTTCTGCCCGGTGAACGAGGCGAGGTCGTGACCGTCATCTGCACTTGGGGGACGCGCCACTCTCCGCTGAAGAGAGAAGATCAGGAAGTTTAATCCGTTGCCGCAGGTCTGGAGCTGTGGGGACGCATGGAAATGTATGAAACAAACATTGAAATCAACAGTAAAGTCAAACCAGCACTACCTGTGTTGAGCGGCCCGGAGGATTTACACGTAGCATACTACTACTACTACTACTACTACTACTACTACTATATGAAACGACTATGCATGAGAGAGCAAACGACAGCTAGCAACAGTGATACTCGGTAGGGCCAGGCAAACAGTTGGTCCTCGTCACTCTCTCCTCTCCAGCTCCTTCTCCTTCCACTCCCACGACTGCCGGGCCGTATCGCCATCCTCACCGATACCTTCGAGCCTGCCGGACTCCAAGACGGACTCTCGGCTGAACAGGTTGTCGTCTGCGACCGTTCCAGCCAACAGGTGGTCTCTGACGCACTCCTCCAACACAGCTGAGTCCGCCGTCCTCTGCATCTTGCATTGCCATTCCTATGTTGGCTTGATGGGGGGAACTGCTTCTTCTTGTAAAACAGCTCAGTGCTGTTGTTCTGTATCCCAGATGTGACTCAGACGTCCTTTATAGACATTCCGTGTCCTCTCTCGGACGGTTTCGCAACCCGGTCAACTCCCATCTCTCTTTCTCTAGTTCTCTACTATTTCGATTGGGACATTGCCCGTCTTAGACAACCTCCCCCCCTCCCCCCCCCTTTTCTCCCCCCAAAAGTATATGTCTATATTGAAAGTAGCATTTGATCTCGGGTTCCCCAGAACTTTGCAGGACTTTTTTTTTCCTTTTTTTTCCCCCCTTTCTTTCCCTTTCCTTTCTTTTCATTTTCTTTCTTGTTTTTATTCTCTTCTTCTCTTTTCTTTTCCCCTTTTCTTTTTCTCTCTTCTTCCCTTTTCTTCTCTTTTCTTCGTTTCGCTTTTTTTTCCTTGCCTTACCTTAATACTTTTTCCTTCTTTCTTTTTTTCCAGAACAGATCTTCCTTGCCCGGCCCACCTGAGCATATGCATGTCAGTAGCGGGGACCAGAACCCTGGTTTCTCCAGTCCCCCTCCTCCTCCGCGTATCGTATCATTGCAATGCTCCATGGGGGTGTTAAGAGAACCTGAGAGTGAGGGATAGGGACGTGGCGTGACGTATAATGATGCTTGTTCCACCACATACGCTGCTACGATTCAGAATTGCTAAGATTTGGAAATTACTACTTGGCACCCGACACACCGAGTTGCCCCTCTCGAGGTCTTGTCGTGCCATGTGGGCTTATAGAGATGGGAGAAGAAGAAAAAAGAAGAAAAAGCAGTATTATTGTTCCCGTTTCAAATCACCAAACACCTCTTTTGCTTCGACGAAAAAAAAGGAAGAAAAAAGATGAGAAAAAAAGAAAGAGTCAAATAGTAAGAATAAAAGAGTAAAACAAGGAAATATATAAAATCGGGGCCACGAGGGACACAGAACACAACACGTCTCAGCCAGAACGGGACCGACTCACATCCTCTTCTTCTTGGCATCCGTCCCTTTTGCCTGTTTGCCTCCATCAGCATCAACCTGCATTATGGCAATCCAAGTCAAACACTATGGGTCTGGGTTCCCGGGGGGGGGGTCAAGAAAGGCCGACAGAACAAGGTGGTTCGAATCTTTTTTTTTCTCTCTGGGGTAACAGGTCCCCCCCCCCCTTCTCCCTTAAAGAATCAAAGCAAAACACTTTTTACCACAAACGAGGAAATTAGAATATAAAAGAATAAAAATCACATGACCAACAACCCGCATTCCAGTCCCAAAAGCGTGGCAGCCCCCTTGTACACTACATAATAAAATAAGAGAGCCCTGGATGACATAAAAGAGAAACAACCCGCGTCACAGCCATAGACAGGCGAGCAAAGAAGAAACGTTGGGGATATCATAGAGATGTTTTAGGCTTGAATTGATCAGGCCTCGACCAGACTCTTGTTCTTCTTCTTCTGCTCCACCTTGAGCAGCAGGGCACGGTTGATGTGCGGCAGGACTCCACCAAAGGCAATGGTGGCGCGGATGAGCGTGTCGAGCTCCTCGTCACCACGGATGGCGAGCTGCAGGTGGCGGGGCGTGATACGCTTGACCTTGAGGTCCTTGGCGGCGTTCTGTGGCAGGAGAGGCATCATTGTCAGCCAAAGTACAGGCATCGACGCGGCTGGGAAGAAGAGGAAGGAAAGAAGATGGGATCCGGTTTGAACTTACACCTGCCAGCTCGAGCACCTCAGCAGTCAGATACTCGAGCACAGCCGTGACGTAGACAGCCGCCTTGGCGCCCACGCGCATCTTGTTCTGCGTGTTGTTCTTGAGAAATCTCTTGACACGACCGCAGGGGAACTGCAACAAGGTACGAGTCAGAGAGCGAGTTCGTGATGTTTACGTATTGTACTTCTGCTGGGGCCGTCTGGCTGCATCGCCGCCGTCCCCCCTCTCTCGAAACCCCTCCGCTCGTATTTAGCTGGCACGGCATGGGCCAGTCGCAAACACGATTGCGCGGGCGCAAAACGCGAACAAAGAGGAGGTTTTTGCGTGCGCGAGTGTCGTCGCCGTGTAAACAAAGAGCATCGAGAGGTCTGACGCGTCGAGAAAAGAAGGCAAAGAAAAGCCGAATCCGCCTGCAGGACGGCGGCGGCATGCGCCATGAAGTGATGCGCAGCAGCAGAGAACCAAATTAATCATGTGACAAGACTCACCTGAAGACCGGCACGCTCGGAGTGGCTCATCTGCTTCTTGTTGCCCTCGCCGCCCGTCTTACCACCCGAGCTCTTCCCGCCCGAAGACTTGCCCTTACCGCCAGGCATGATGAAGGACGATTTGGGAGAGAAAAAAAATTAAAAATTCGAGACGGCAATGTAACGAATCGGAAAGAAATGTTATGCCAGGGAGGCCACGAAATCAAAAAGTCGATCAGATGTTGAGTGCGACGATAAAATCGAGAGCGCGTGCGTGGTTTGTCGAGGTGGCCGGATGGTGTTGTTGATGGAGCGATGTTGGCGTCGGCGTTGGTGCAGTGGGAGGAATTTAGC